CTTAAAAACAAAACAAAAAAAAACACCTACTTTTAAGGAAAATGCCTAACAGGTTTTTAATACAGTAATCACTGTAATTATCACTTTCTTTTCTAGTTCATTGGTTTTCAGCTCAGGCTGCATTCTCTAACTCATACTGTGAAGAAAAAGGTGTTTTTGACTCAAATATATGAAATCTACATAGTCTTAATTTGTAAAAAATAAAGAAAATTCCTTAACCTTTTCTTGGTGTTTGTGTGTTAAATTCAAGGCACACTGAACATGGGCCTGGGAGCTCTCTCTGTCTTGCTGGCTTGGCTTTAAAAAGAGAGGAGTCGAGTTCTGTTCTAGGTAAGAAAAGAACAAGGATACTTTCTTGTGCTTTAAAACTCCAAGTTGCAGTAAATGTCAGGAGTTTGTTCTAATAAGCACTAAGAATCACTGGCCCAATAAGCAACATCATGATAGATGGAGAAAAGCTGGATGTTGTCAGGTAATTACATTGGGAAAACTTGTAAAGACCTCTCCCAAGTGCTAGAGAACAAGGATGCTGGTTTAAAGATTAAAGTGTTCCTGATCCAAGCTAGGGATAGTCATTTGCTTCCTGTGCATCTAAAAATTGGACAATTAATAAAGATGACAGAAGAATAATTTTGCCTTTGAACTGTAGTGTTGGCAAACAGTGCTGATTGGTACTGCCAAAAGAGCAAATAAGACTGTCCTGGAGGAAATGCAGCCAGGGTGTTTCTTCCTTTGGGCATTCTGTGAGGAAAGGCCAGTCCATGGGGCATAAAACCAAAACAGCAAGGTGGTGAGAAAGTTAGGTCAGAGAATGGAAGACCCTCAGCAGAATGGATTGATAGTAACTAATGGGTGTGAGCATGGCAGAGATTGTGTAGGATAGAGCAAGATTCAGATCTGTTCATAGGGTTTCTGTGGGTCTTCGGTTGACTGGACACATTATTAACAACATGGGTTATGTGATACAAGATGAGAATTCTGAATTCTAGAGCACTTTATTCTCATGTAGAACCTGTGCATAGACAAAGGGGCAGTTGGACTAGAACAAGGAGATATTGTAACATTTAATTTTCATCCTGAACAAATAACTGCGGAGCTGGACTACATGAAGGAGGGATTGAGATTGGAGAATTCATTAACAAGCTGGTGAGCAGATCACAAAAATCTGTAACCTTGTTGAAAAAGGTCTATAAAGTGCTCCTTGATGAAAAAAAGACTAGTCTTCAGTATCAATTCACCTCAAAAAAAAAAGTTCAGGTGGGTGAATAAGCAGCAACATGAGTGGAAAAAGTACTGAACCACATGAATTTCATTTTATTTGGAACCACAGTCATGGCCCAAGGACACAACAGTCATGCAATTAAATGATGCATTCTTAGTAGCAGAGTGAAAAGTCAGACTCAAGTTCTAAGGACTAAAGGGCTTTGCATATCACAATGTCCACAAGCCTGAGACCAGAAAAACTAGATGGTCCCCAGCTGCCACTCACTGCTCTGACAGGGATGGTTTGTGGACAGAGGAGGAGAAAAATGTAGGACACAAAAATCACAAGAAAGGAGCACTGCATGCTCCCCTGGGGATCACCTGTCAGATAGGCAAAGGCTTTTTTAAAGTGTTTAAAAGGAAAGATGGCACTTTGGGAATGAAAGTTGTTGGTGTAACAGTCCCAATAATTTAAAATGGTAGAATCTTTACCACTTAATGGTGAGTAACTTTCAAGAGTACACCATTAGGAAGTGGCAGATCTGTGTAATCTCCCTGCTCTTCATTGTTAGGTTCTGTAGGTAACAGATTTGCATCTAGAAGGGGAAATGTGAGGCAGTTTGGGTAAAATCTCCATACCTCTAAAACATCCCAAAAGGCTGTGCTCCCTTCCCCCTGCCCTAGTTTACAAATCAGAAAAGGTTGACACAGCAGTTCATTCCAGGCCTGGGTGGTAACAGGGCATTGGCACAGGCACAAGTTCATATTGGGAGGAGAGAGATTTCCTCATGTTTAGTGATTGGATCCATGTGATGGGCTCTATGCTAGGGATAAAGATAAGACTTACCTGCATTTTAGTTACTTGCAGAGCAGTGATACATGTAAACACTAATACTTACACGGGAGCAGTACAGGGGTCATGAGAACAGTGGGAGATATTTAGACTTGGTTCAGAGGGAAGAATTTAGAGATGATAACTGGGATAACTAAATCCTAAAGGATGACCCAAAGTGAGATAAGTGACCAGAAGAGAAAGGCAATCCTGGGAGTAGAAGTTTTAAGGTGGATAAACACCTCACAGCGGGATAAAAACCTCACAGGAGGATAAACACCTCACGGGGTAAACAACTCACAGGAGGATACATTGTGATAAGGAAAGGCACAAAGGCCAGATCGCTGGGATGTCAGTTTTAAGAAGGAGGCTAATAGGAAATGGGATAGAGGTAACTGAGGACTTTCTTTGCGGGGCTAAGGAGCTGCCTTTGTCTTGAGGGCAAAAGTCTTGAGCAACAGAGCATCTTTTTTTTTTTTT